ACTGCAGTGAACTAATCAGTTAGGATTATACATTTTCCTTATCAACAAAATGACAAAAGTCAATAATAATAATAGTGCAAAAAATTAAGTAATAAAACTAGGGCAGGATTTCTAAAGATTAAAGTAGAAAACTTGTCAAAATCTGCTTGAAATCTTCTCCAAGTATGGAGGGTGACTCTTTGTATCATCTGAAAATCTGCCCTGAACTTTAACTTTGCTCCCAGGATTGTCATTTCTTTGATAACAGTAATAATTAGTATAATAATAATAAATAAAGGAGAAGCTGATTTTGAAAACAGTATTTAGTCAGTGTCTTGATCTACAAATGGTCATTTACATGAAGATGTAACAGGCCCGCTGCCTTACCACCCACAGGTATGTTCCAGCTAATGGAGAGGAAACTCTTCAGTTCTTGGCCAATGGTAAATTGGAGAAATTGAAAACTCAGAGAAGAGCTTCCTGTCAGAGGCCTGAGAAAGTTTCACATCAGTTTCAACTAACCATGCTCCAGGTGAATAAACTGCAACAAATAGCCAAATATAATGTATCCCAATACAGATTGAAAAGTATGAGTCCATAATGTTAATTTGTCTTGTCTTCTGTAGGTGTCCAGCAGTGGGGACAATATGGTGGAATGCCAGTTGGAAACCCATAGCAACAAGATGGTCACATTTAAGTTTGACATTGAAGGGGATGCACCTGAGGACATAGCAGATTACATGGTGAACTGCCCATGTGCTGCTGTAATCTGTGTTGGTTAGTGTCACGTGTCATTCAATGTCTTGTAAGTGCTGTTTGTTTGTACTTTCTTCATAGGTGGAGGAGGACTTTGTTCTTGATGTGGAGAAAGAGCAATTTGTTGAGGAGCTTAGAACAATAGTTAAGAAAGCCCACGAAATTCTTCAAACACATTCGCAGGTATGTTGTTTTTCAAAATTCCCATCACGTTCTCTCCTTTTGAATTTCTGGTATGATTGATTATGATACTGTTAACAACAATAATAAAAATTATAATGATAAATTGATTGATGAATGTAAATTTCTATTTCTCCTAAGACTGGATCAACTGACCAGCTTCATGTGGGCACCCCCACCACCAGTGAGATATTTTATATACATTTACTCTGCACCAAAAGTTTCAGTGTAAGGAAATGCTATACTTACCATAACTTAACTTTTAATAAGTAGTGACCTATCTTTTTCTTTTTCAGCGGACTCAGCGCCCCACTCCTCCCCGGTGGGCCGCTGGCGATTTTTTATCAACCAGACCATCCGCCATAGAGACTCCCTTTCCAGCCAAGGAGCAGCCACACCACTGTCAACTACAGAAACAAGGATTCCCCTGTCTCCTCAAACAGAGAAAGGTGAGCTCCACCAAGGTTTGTGTGCCGTGGCTTATTAACGTGACTGAGTTGGCAGCATAACAGAAACTAACAGTCTTACTCTCTGTGGCTGCAGAAAGTGAAGGATTCCAAAGTCTGGAGTCCTTGACTGGAAGGGCCTCTCCCCCCTGCCCCACCCTTTCTGCTACCTCCCCACCAGTCTCCACTGTCTCAGCTCCTGCCTCCATATCCCCCCCAGTCACGACAACCCATGGCCCCCTCACCACTGCCTCTGAAAGCATCTCTGCACCAGCCTCTACTCTGGAAGCCTCTGTCCCTGTCACTGCTTCAGGTGGTCTGGAACTGACAGTCATCCCCTCAGCTCCTGCTAACCAGATTTCCAGTGCTTCATCATCCATATTAATACCTGCTGCCTCTAACCTCCCCCCCTTGTCCACTGCCGTTCTTCATGACATCCTCTCTTCTCCTGGAACCAGTGATTGTTCCACTGGGGGTCAAAATATAGGGGATGCAGTGCTAACTGCTCCAGGGCCATGTGTGTCCACAGTGGACCAGTCCTCAACCTCTTTTAATTCCCCTCCTCCTGCTACTGCAGTGACCTCTTCAGCAGGAAGCCAAGCTGGCAAGGAGCAACAACAGACACTTGCCCAGGTGGCCAAACCAGTCCCACAACAACCTCAACAACCACAACTACTGTTGCAGCAGCAGATACCAGTAGTTCCGCAGCAACTTCAGACAATGCAGCTTGAACTGCAGGCACAGCAGATACAGCGTGCAACACCACAACAGCAAACACAACATCAAGTTTGCCAAGAACAAATTCAGCTGCAGCAGTCTCTCCAGCACATGCAGCAACAGCAACTCATGCAGAAACAAATCCCACTTCAACAAAAGGTGACTGAGATGCAGGTGTTGCCTCAGCCAGGTCACCCAGAGGTGTTACAACAGTCTGTGCCTCTGCAGCAGTTTCTGCCCCCAGGGCACATACAGCAGGCCCAACAACCCCTTCTTCAACAGCAAACCGCACAGTGTGCTCCACAGCTGCTGCAGCAGCCTCAGTTGCAGCAGCTACCTCAGCAGGTTATGGCACCACTTGCTGCTGCAGTGCCGCAACAGCAGGCCCACATTGATCATCTGCAGCAGCAACAGTTAAACCTGCAACAGACTATACACTTACAGCAACAGCAGTTACAGCAGCATCAGCTGTTTATGGGTACTGTGGCGTTAAAGTCAGATCAAGACCAAATGTTGCCCCTGTCAATAAGTCAACAGTTTCTTCAACAACAGGTGCCACTAAATGTTGGCTTTGTACCACAACAGCAGATTCCACAGCAAACCCAAATCTCTGCAGAGCTGGCACAACAACATATTCAGTCACAGAAACAGCCAATACATGTTGAGCAACAACAGGATGTTGTTAAAGCTGTGGACACACCCCAGAAACAGCAGCAGTTTCCTCTGCAGAAGCAGTCGTCTTTACAGATGTCAGAGTCAGAGATGTCAACGGGGGAGACGAGTGTCACAGAGGACACAGGCAGCTACTCTGCCTATTTTCACCCTTCCTCTGACTCGTCTCTGCCGCCTCTCCATCTGGGCAGTGCTGAAGCCTCCTTGCCCGCTCTCCCCCTAACACTGACACCATCCCCTGCTCAGCCTTCCTCTGTTGCCGAGTCAGACAGTGAAGGCCCGCCCAAAATTGAATTTGTAGATAACCGCATAAAGACTCTGGATGAAAAGCTTAGAAACCTGTTGTATCAGGAGTACAGCAGTGGGGCAGCGTTGACCGGAGGAGCTGCCTCCGGCCCAACATCAGCTGCCTCCACATCAGCAGGAGGAGACGAGTCATCTGAGCCGCTATCACTCCACCACTTGTCTTTCCCCCCACCTGACTCCTCCTCAGATACTTCCCCCCACTCCACGTCCTCCACTACCTCTTCCACCACCTCCCGCTCCTCCTCCACCTCCCCTGACCCAGAGAGGGATGGGGGGCAAGACGACGCCTTCTCAGAAGTGCCCAAGTCTGCTGGGCCGTGGGCGGTGGAGCAGCAGCCCGGGCCATGTCTCCCCTCCACCTCTGCGTCATCGACCCCACCTACCTCTCTTCTGCCTCCTAATCAGGATGACTCTGCTGGGCTCCAACGCCCACCTGTACCAGGAGAACCAACCATTCTTGTGAGTGAATACCACAGATTTGATTTCGAGCAAATTTTCTATCAGTGTTGTCTTTCACTGTTCTGAATTTACATCTCTTTACAGTTTCAGTGTGTAAATGTGACTCCGCTTGGTTCTTTTTCAGCTGTCTGTGAGAATGTTTGAGTGTTTCTCCATTTTAAACGTCTCAACTACACGCAGCCACTTTTAATTGTCTTAACTGTTCCAGGCTGTACCCCCACAATCTGATACCAGTACCACTGGAGACGCATCGTGGCCTCCCAATCAGCAGCCGATCCCCCTCCGGCATGGACAGCAGCAGCACAATGCAGGAGGTGGATATTTTGGCCTAAACCTGACATGTCCTAGTATCAGAAATCCTGTTAGCAAGAAATCCTGGACTCGCAAATTCAAAAACTGGGCGTGCAAACTGCGCCACTCCGCCAGCTTGTTCAAGAAGCCCAGAGTCCAGCAAGGTAGCGTCCTCTTAGGGAGCGAGCAAGCGAGAGAGAGAGAGCGTGAGAGAGAGAGAGAATGATTTTGTGGGGGCATGGACCTAAATCTAATCTACTCCTAGTTTTAACATAGTTAATTAACTTGCTTAACCATTAGGAATTAATAACTGTTAATGCTAATGGATGTTAATGTTTACAGCTAAATATTTCTGTTTTTTCATTTTTTGTAATGTGACTTTAGTCCCCATGTAATGTACTTGTTGATATCTTTACATTCATTATTGTTTAAGTTTTTTTTTAATTTTAATTGTTTCTGAATTGCTTTTTTACTAAATTTCATTTTCTTGGCAGTCTTTCTTTTTGCATGGGTTACTCACCCAGGGTGCACGAGCAGTGGAGAGTAGAGGAGGGTGGGAGATTGGCGCAGTGTAGGAAGAGGTTGGCATCAGATATGTGATGCCCATCCCAGTGCAGATGAACCCTGGAGAAACGCCCAGCTGTGATTGTGCCCCGGACATACCCCCTCATATGACACCCCCCGCACCATTCCCCGACCCCAGTTCCACGGGCGCTTCCAGCAGCAACCATCTCACCTACTCACATCCACCTGCTGGCTCAGTGTAGCGAGATCCATGCAACTCACGCCATAAATAACACAGATAAGACAGATGCTAAGTTGCTGTGCTATTATGTTACTATCTTCTCACTCTAACTCTAATATGTGTACACTGTCTGTGTCAGCTCATACACCATAGCATTGCTCCACGAGGCAAAACTTCGTAGCGTAATTGTAGCATAGGAATTGATCAAAAATGTTTTTCTGTATGAAATATCCAGATTAGGATGAAACTTCTAGTATATATTGCTAAAGTCAGGTTCTGTTGTACATGGGTAGGCTTGTCATAACGCTAAGCTTTAACACACTGTGCAAGTATTCCAGTCATCTTGCATGCATTTGTGTTTATATGTGTAACATGTGTAGCAGTTACTTAGATCCTTCGCACATGCATGAGCGAGTATGTTATGTTCCACACGAGTGACTAATAATGGATCGTTATCTGTAAGTAAAACCTATTTCAGGCTGCATATTTTTTATGTTGGTCTTGAATAATGCATTGAATATCCATGTCCACACTTTACTAATGTAGTGAGCCCAAATATCAAACACACAGAACAATATTACTGTGGATCTGAGAGCAGATCTCCAATGTGATGTTGGGCTTTGTTGTCTGATATATGACTGGGACAATATTGAGCCAGTGAGAATGAGAGAGAGTGGTGGGTGGTTGGGTGGGTGAGGGTACATGATTGTAAACATTCAACTGCCATTTCACAGTGTTTTTTAATTTTTTTGTATTAATGACCTCCTATAATTTTTGATAACATGCATTTACCACTCCTTCCCTCATGGCCATAATACTTTTCTCTTGAGCATGTATTTTTACATCCCAAATGCCTACATTGATATTTTTATTTATAAATGAGATAAATTACTGCCACTGAAGTCGGCATATGTTAACATTGTTCATAGACATGAATGCATGCCACCTGAGTGAATGAGTTGAGGATGTGTGACATTTGTGATGATTTCTAACACTGCCTTTTGTACGTGCCCCATGTCTGTCCATGTGCATCTTTATGTCTCTCTTTTGTTTATTTCATTTGTCTGTTGTTTTTTGTATGTGTCCACTTTGTCATTTATGTGTTCTCTGTGTGTGTTTGTCTTTTTGTCTCTGGGTCTGTGTCTCCCTTTCTTTTCATCCCCATCTCTTTATTAGAAGGACGTTCTACCCGTCAAGAACTTAGAGAGGAGAAGGAGGCACCATCCATGAATCCACCTCAGTCACGGAAAGGACGATTTCAGGTAGGACAATAAGTACCAATTCTAACCCAACTCTTTAACACTCATTAGTCTGAATCTTCAGAGCAGTGTGGACAAGCAGCCAATCTCTCTCACACCCTTTTGCAATCAGGTGACTCCAGTGCTCCAGACCTCTCCCCCTAAGGAGGTGCCATCAGGTCATGGTAGCACTCATAGGAAAGTGGGACGCTTCTCTGTAACCCAGACTGAGACAAAGAAAGAGGATGGGCTGACTGTTAGCTCCCCGCTGTCTATACACTTGGAAAGGGAGAGGAGGAGATCTCGGGCAAAGGAAGGAGAGAAAGATGAAAGTAAGAAGACCCCAGTGCTGGCCCATCCGCCTCGGGGTCATGGACACAGCCACTCACCGCTGGGCAGCAGCGATGATGATGCTGAGAGTGAGCTGGAGGAGGAAGACCTGAAAAAAGAGCTACACAAGCTCAGAGAGAAGTGAGGGGAGATGCTTAGCTCCATTATTTTGGTGTTTGCAAGACGCTTGTTTCTTCATTTATTCTGTTTTCTACAAAGAACAAACATTTTCACCGTTTTATATCTCCTCCTCTATAGGCACATCAAAGAGGTGGTTTCCCTTCAGGCTCAGCAGAACAGAGAGTTGCAGGAACTTTACAGACAACTACGATCATTCAAAGACCAACGGCAGAGTCTGCCTGCCTCCCTTTCCCGAACCCCTTCTCTTCCCATGGCAGCTCCTCTCCTCTCTCCTCGCAGGCCCAGGCCAGGCAAAATCAAGCTCCGGCCCCGGCCTCACTCTCATATGGATAACAACGGAGTTACGCACTCTGGTAGGTTTTTCTTGTCTGGTCTTTCTCCCTCATTTTCTCTTTTTATTGCATATGCTGTATGTATAACTATTTGTATATCTCTCGTGTAGGGATTCAACAGTCAAGTAGTTTCTCTGGTGGTGAGCAGAATAGACTGCCCCTATACTGCAACCCTGAGCACCCCCCATCACTGCCTGTTAAAAGAGGTATGGTTTGTTATAATTGTGATAAATTGAGACAATTCATTTAGTAACAGTATGTGGTATGATGTTGCATCCCCCCTTCGTTTTTCCACAGATCAAAGCCCTCTAAGAAAAAGCACATTCACTGATGAACTGCACAAACTTGTTGATAATTGGACGAAGGAGACGGTGGGCGCCATCCCACCAAAACCTTCTCTGAATCAGATCAAGCAGATTCAGCAGGTGCAGGAGTTGGGAGGCTGGAGCCAGCCGACTGAGGTAGGACTGTGCACTAAAATATGTAGCCAGTTTTTACACAAATTTAAAAGCAATACTTATAAAAGATGCTTAATTCACCTACTTGTTCATAATTAGGTGAGAATCTATGTCCTTTGCATATCTTTTAATTTGATATAAGACAGCAGCAGGTTAGTTTAGCTTAGTATAAAGAATGGAAATAGGGGGAAACAGCTAGCTACAGTATCTCGAAGGTAAACAAAAATGTCCTATTATACGAGGTACAGCATATAACACTCATAAAACGACAACTTGTTATTTTTCACATTGTTCCCAATCTCCAGTCTTCATTTTTATCAGAGATAACCGGCTGCCTGCATCAGTATCATGCTGCTAATCTCATTTTCAACACGAAAACAAATAAGCGTATTCGACAAATGTCAGACTATTGATTTAATATATTGTCAGACATGTTGTTCTCTTCTAATCATAAATTTCATGAGCAAGTTTGTGCTTTTGTGTTATTACAAGATCACTTGATCTTCCTCATAAAAGATGATTAAAAGAAGCCAGACAGTGTTTATTTGATTTTGATGAAAAGTTTTGTTGTTTTGACTCATTTGTGTCAGCACATTGTTTTTTTGCTGCATTATTCACTCAATACTCATTATTATATTCCATACAGGTGGCTCCACCAGGTTGGTTTCCTGTGGCACCACTGAACCCTCAGGCATCCCCGACCCCTGCCAGCTTGCCTGTGGCGGCCCCTTCTCATTACACAGGTGGAGGGAGCCTGTCCACCCTGCCCTCTCCAGGACCTCCGCCACAAACGCACGTGGCTCATGCACCACAGATGCAGCCAAATTTAAACCTGCATCAGTCTCTCCCCCTCCAGCAGATGACCTATCAGCAGTCACCGCTTCGCCAGCAGATTCCGCAGCCCCGGATGCAAACTTCCGTGCAGTCTCAGTCTTCACCGCAGACCCAGCCCATTACCCAGCTGCCCCACTCACCACCTCAAAGCCAGCCACTGCTGCCTTCTCAAATGCCCACATCTCCAGTGTCCACGGCCACATCTCTGCTGCCCGGCAGTGGGACTGCTGCACCCACAGATAGTACTGCTGCTACTGGGGGGACATTTTGCTCCTGCTCCTCTTCCACCTGTTGCTCCTCTTGCTCTACTGCTGCTCTACCTTCCAGTGCCAAAATTCACCCAACACCCCCAACCTCGACTCTTCCTCTCGGACAGAAATGAAACCAAGGTGAAGTGTGAGGTCAATATGAAGGTGCAAGAGATTGAAGTACGAAGTTGGTCAGGATGTAAAACAGATATGGAGTGTTAGTTCTGCGTATACATGACCGAGGTGTGACTGCAATGAATTTATGGATACCAGTGTATGTGAGGGATGATAGATTCTAGTATGTACAAAACAGACGGTAATAAGGGGAACACAGAAGCTGGGGTTTATGGTTCACGGTATGTTTGGGTGTTAAGATGTAAAAATTCTTTAATGTATGAGTGTGTGCTTTTATGAGTGTGGGTGGGTGTATGTGGATTATCTAAGTACATATCTCTGATGTCCTTTGGCATAAATTAATGTTAATTGTTTTGTTTTAAAACCAACTCAGTTGGACCTGAATTCTCCCAGAGCAGAGACAAGAGGGTCAAACTGTTTGACAGTGTGTTGACATTTATTGTTTGTCTTATCAATGCTTACAGTAAAAGGACTATCAATTTTAAAAGTGCAATTAGTAATGGTCATCGAAATTGATCAGCATGTGTTGTAATGATTTGTCTGTAAGGCATAAAATATTTTTGTAAAAGCACATTAAAGAAAACCAGACGCATAGAGCATTTTTCCATGATCTTTACATGATCTTTTAAAACTTTAGGCCTACAGCACAAGGTGTTTAAATGGGCAACAAAAACTAAACTAAGCGGCAGCATGTTACACAAAAGAGCACGGTTAAGTTATCTGGCCATCATCGTTACCACAATACGACCAAATACATTGTGTGTTGTGCACCATACAGCATGTGCTCATCTTTTTATTATTTTATGTTTGTAACATAGAAGCAGACTTAATAACCGTAAGTGATGATATAAAGTCTGATTGATTCTTAATATGAAGGCAAATTGAAATTAAAAAGACTACATGACCTCATAACTAACTTGACTTGCCTGAGTGCAAACTGCTTGCACTTGCTATATTCATGAATCTCACTTTTACTGTTTGCAGCTCACTGAGAAAAATAATCAGTCATGAGTCAACTGGCATTTAGGATGACCTGCTTTAACATTTGACATTTTTGTTTTCAGTTGTGGCTCCACATATCACAGTATATCACATTCTGAGGTAGAGAACAAAAAAAAAGAACTGCCAAGTTATTAAAGACTGGTGAGACCATATGGGCGATTCCCATACTGCCTTTTAAAGTGACTGCATTTTTGTGAGTGTGTGAGTGTTTATTTGTTGTGTGACAATGCTTTGTGGTAGTCTCATGGTACATTGCAATATAGACTGCATCCCTGTTTCTTTTATTCAAAGCGGCCTCTCAAATGTCACCGTACCCAAATGAAGATGTTTACCTTGCCTATGTCTTGGGCTTGTTTCCTCAACAAATAAAACAAGTGAGACTTAAGACCATTTGCCAGTTGTAAGCTTAATGTCCAACACTATTGTGGCATCCTCACTTGCCTATTTGTCCACTTTGTTTGCTGTTGTACATTTTCCTTATTTCAATTGTAAACTACCTTCAAAAGTAGTCGTCAACCACATCTTTCAGAAGAGGAACTGCAGGTCATAATTGTGCGTTATGCACTGCAAAAGGTTTACTCAAGTCAAAATGTTCCATTCCTCTATTTCCAAACTCACTTCATTTGTAGTCGCAGAATAAACAGAGTAATACATCAGGAGCAGATATATATCTGTACATTTTATTGGGTTGTCAGTGTGCTTAGCCATTCACACATGACCATTGATAGTCAGCCATTATGATTTTTTTGGCTTAATAAGTAGCCTGTAGTCGAAGTAGCATTTCTGTTTTATTATTGATAGAGAGATGGTTTGCCACAGAAACCGGACATTGTGTAGGTTGTAAAAGACTGCTACATGTGAGTCAAAGAGATTTAAAAAACATGGATGCTTAAAGACTACTCTATGCTAAAGGGTATGGTTGTTCAGAAATTACAGTTGCATTATCTAGAGTTTAACAAATGGTTTTCTGTATTTGTTGCTTTCCAAGACAACCCACATTTTCACAGCGATGTAGTCCATTATTAGTGAAGGTGAGAAACTGTGCTGTCATGTCTGATACTAACATGTTGACCACAAGCTACAGCTCAATGATCATGACTCATGATGTGGAGCTGGCTTTGTCCTTGAAGTGTTACCAAAATGTTATCTAAAAGATAAAGATTATTTTTGTATTTTGAACTGGGGTTGTACAAATTGTAAAACTGTAGAAAACACTGGTTTTCATCGCTGTTTACATGGGACTCCCCTTCCCTTTGATATACCTCTCTGACAGGCCAGGGTCGTTATAGGTCATATTCAGAGAATTTTTGGTCATTTTTAACTTCTTATATCAGTTCAGAAAACCTGGATGATACACAACAGAATGAAATGAGCTACTAAGATTTAGATTAAATATAATAAACCTCCAAATTAATGCAACAAACACCTGGGGGAGTCCCAAATGGCATGAATGAGAACCAATAAAAACATTTTTGGGCAAAGAAACCTAGAAAATAAGGTATGTTTCTGGTGATTTAGCCTCTGTAAATTGTAACTAATTCGACTGTTGATTTTATTTATGTTTTGTAACTAATCAAAATAAATGATGTCAACCATCAAATTGTATTTTTATTGTACCATAGTTTCACATGAAGTACTCCCACAAACCACAGTGGTTAGAAGTGGAGGTTTGAGGTTGCACGTCAGATTTTGAATCAAGACCAACGTGGAGGCCAATCAGAGACATTTGGTTGTCCATTTATGAACCACTTACATGTTCCTGTAAGTCACAATATCATGTCTGCTTTTGCTTTAATTGAGGGTGAGTTATTATGTCAATATTGTCCGGCAATGCATATAACACAAAATGGCTCTAACAAATGCAGTAAAAGAGCAGGTTGATATACACAAATATGAAATTAGGTATTTTAATTAGTTCACATTTTCAATTAGATATGATATTAAATATGAAACATTGTTAGCAGGGTGATTGTAGTACTTAAATAAAATTAAATGATTAATTTCACACTCTACATTGCACTTCGAATGTTATTTATCAAATGCAGGACTAATTCGTAGTAAAAGACATAAATGTGTCTTTGCCAACCAGTCAAATAGCAATTTACATCCATGTGTGTCCACAGCAATGGCTGTATACAGTTCCTCCACTGTACCAAAATGACACCAAATTATTCAGGATAAAGCTGCTGCTATCTTCTGCAAAGCTGACATAATTTGGTGCCAGAGTATGTGCAGTAATGATTGTGGAGAGGAGTTGCGGGATAAAAATAAACCTGCACATCTACCCAACCAACATCTGTTTGATAAGAAAGACCAAAATTAACAGAAACCATATTTTACAGTAGTACTTTCAATTTCTAGTTTGGTTCATATCCGATCTGCTAACATGGAGGAGGTAGCGTTTAAGACCTATACTGCAGAGGCAGAAAATAAATGTTGGTTTTCATAAAAAAAGATTATGTGTGATTAAATTACACATTTTCAAATATTTGTTTACTTTGTACATTTTGGGATTATCAACAGCTGAATTTATGTACTTTATATTATTCACTATTAAATCCTTGTTGCACTGTAAAACAATGCGATCAATCCAATTACATAAGGTATACAAGGGAAGCAAATTGCTGGAAGAAATAAGAAAAACATGACACTGAAAGATTCAGTAAAAGAAATGTATAATGCTCGAAGAAACAGAAAGCAATTTATATAACTAAGGATGACTTTTTTTTTGCCAATTTCCTACAGTTTGTAAAATTATAAAGTTGAGATGGTCCAATTTATTTCATGTACTTGAAAAAAAACAACTACATTCAAAGTTCTGTTTCATTATTCTAAACATGAGAATTACAGCCTGAGTACTGTTCAACTTTACTCGAGAAAAACTTTTCAATCCAAAAGAATGATTTGGGTTTTACACAGAAGGTAAAGAAAGATACTTTTTTTTGTTTAGGTAAGAGACTAATCTTCTATTTAGATTTGTCCTTCACGGGTCCATCTGTAGAATGTCGGAGTTGAACTTCGTGTTTTCAAGGTTCTCTGTGTAACTTTGGGTCATTGTTTCCTCTCAGCAGCGTTTTGTCCTGATCGCAGCTCCATAGTTGACTCGCTGCAACTTTATTGTTTTTTCAACAGCGGACAGCGACGAACAAGGGTCTGACGCTGCTGCCTTTGAAATGGCGTCGGTGCAGTCAAATAACGCCGTTACTGGTCGTTGTTGAGCTCGTGTAGGTCGCTCCAGGTGGTGGTTTCCTGCTCCAGTGTGAACCTTTGCCTCTGGCATTTATATTCGGCCATTATAGAGTTGATAAACAAAAATGTGGTGAAGCAAATTGTCAACAATTGACGTTGCATAATAAGGCCGCAGCTAACCCCGGGCTTGCGTAGGGATTACAGCGGCTTTTGAATGCTTGGCCCTGCCGCAGCTCGATGTCGGTGAGTTTCTAGCGGTAAAATATCTATTTCTCCATCAAACAGTACATTTTGATTTGGATGAGATTGTTTAGTTTTAGTTTTCGTTTTAAAAGCTCATTTCACAGCATTATTTCCTTGTGCAAGTCTTCGTAAACGCTTTGGTTAGCTCGCTAGCTAGCACGGCTAACACACGGGCAGCATGTTTACAAACAGCGAGCTAACGGTACATCCTGTCCGTGTGTTGTTTGCAACTCGTTAATACAAGCAAAAGTATTTCTCATTTAAATTCTTCTACGGTTCTTAGATTGTTGTTACTTCTCCAGTTGAAAGAGAATGACCCAGTTTAACACACGTTGGGTAATGTTATGCTATCAAAACACGAACTCATTTCCTTACCCAGCTGCTTTACTCAACTTGCACCTCAGTTTGCAGAATTAGTTGTTGTTCGCCATAACTGGAGCTGGTTAAGACTTTTGCTGTGTGAAGTCTTCCTCATTGTTCACCTCATGTATTAATTAGCTTTCTAATGCAGTCGCTTCATTGTCATGTGTGTAAGTTTCGTTTTGGTTCTTTATTTCAACAGGTTTCCTGGTGAATCCTGGTGGACATGTGTAGTTAAAACAGGAATCTGGAGCTGAAGTGTCCGGTTTATAGTTCAGATTTATAGTAACATTACCATACATTATGAATTAAGTCCCTAGATTGTTAAACAGCCCTCACTATCTTGATTAAAATTTGAAATCCTCATAGAAATAATAATTGATTGTTAGTTCACACACACACACTCAATATGGCATCAGTGCCAGTGTACTGCTTGTGTCGCCTACCATATGATGTGACACGCTTCATGATCGAGTGTGACATTTGTCAAGACTGGTTCCATGGAAGGTAAGTTACTCTCAGATGCCAAAACTGCTGATTCATTTGTAATCTGTGTCTGTTTTCTTAATTGCATGATTCCTGAATGAACTCTCGATAGGACCCTTTGCAGTTTATGTAGCTATCCATTCTGCACATATGCTGTCTGATGAATAACAATGTGTTTTGTGTAGCTGTGTTGGAGTTGAGGAGGACAAAGCAGCTGAGATTGACCTGTATCACTGTCCCAACTGTCAGGTCACCCATGGGCCATCTGTCAGTAAGTTAGCATTTCTAAAACAAGCCTTTCTGAAAATGTTCTGATCTTATTGGCTAAATGCATCTGGATTTCTGTCTCTCCCTCTCCTCAGTGCGCAAACGCCGTGGAGGAAACAAGCAGATGGATAGTGGTGCTACTGGAGGAAGAGATCCAAGTCGGCCCGTTAAGACAGGCAGTCCACAGTTTGTTAGGGAGCTACGGAGCCGCACCTTCCCAAAGTAAATCTTTCCCCTTTGTCCTGTAAAGAGAAAAGTTTTGTTTTGTCACGGTAATACATGTGTAAAATCCTCTTTGGTCGGCTTACTCTTAAGTAATATTGTGCATTTGTTGTTTTTTTTCTATGACAGTGCGGATGAAGTCTTGTTAAAGCCGACTGGGGCCCAGCTGACGGTGGAGTTTCTAGAAGAGCATTCATTCAGTGTACCTGTTATGGTGCTGAGACGGGATGGCCTAGGCATGACCCTTCCCCCATCGTCATTCGGCGTCAGTGATGTAGAGCACTACATCGGTAAAGTTGCAACTTATTTAATGCTACATTTAGATAATAATGTTCTTGTGTTTAGGCTAATGTATATGGGTGAAACATTAGTTTTCTTTGTTGTGTTGGACATGTTAATCAAGTCATCTACATCTTTCTTAAGCTCGCTCATTTTGTTTTAACTGCAGGAGCCGACAAAGAGATTGATGTGATAGATGTGTCACGACAATGTGACCTGAAGATGAGGTTGGGAGAATTTGTTGAATATTACAACAGCCCCAACAGAGACAGAGTGCTCAATGTCATCAGCCTGGAGTTCTCTGAGACTAGGTATGCAAAGATATTCTTCTCAGGCACTGTTCAGTTCATAATGATGACCCAGTGTCTTGTTACTTGAGTTTAATGTTACTTCCCTCAAAAAAGAAATGAAAAAATGTGTGCTTCGTGTTTTTAATCAAGCTATCTTGCTCGTGATGTTTTGAACACTAAAGTTCTGTGTTTTAGGCTCTCAAACTTGGTGGAGACTCCAAAGATTGTGAGGAAACTGTCATGGGTGGAAAACCTCTGGCCTGAGGAGTCTGTGTTCGAACGCCCCAATGTGCAGAAGTACTGCCTAATGGGAGTGAAAGATAGCTACACAGACTTTCACATTGACTTTGGGGGAACCTCAGTATGGTACCATGTCCTGAGGGTAAGAGATTTCTTTAATTTCTGTTAAAGTCTTTTTTAAATACTTTGGTATTATTTTAAGAGCTTGTCTCTCTGTGTGTTCAGGGTGAGAAAATCTTCTACCTAATTTCCCCCACTCCTGCCAACCTAGCGCTTTTTGAGCGGTGGAGTTCTTCATCTAACCAGAATGAGATGTTCTTTGGAGACCAGGTTGATATGTGCTATAAGTGTTCTGTTAAACAAGGCAACACGTTGTTCATACCAACAGGTAAGCTGAAATATTTCTGCTGGTTTCGTTAGTCATATAAAATAGTTTTAGCAGTCTTGTAATAATTAGAAAAGTCTGAATCCAATAATGTTTAAACTTGTGTCATTTGTTTGTCTTCCAGGGTGGATTCATTCTGTCCTGACTCCAGTGGACTGCCTGGCCTTTGGAGGAAACTTCTTGCACAGTCTTAACATTGACATGCAGCTCCGGTTAGTTTCCTCAAGACTGTACATCTCGTCTTATCATAGCCCTTTCTGAAAGATTTGTTCTTGTGAACTTGACTTTGCCACTAATCTATAAAAGTTTCCCAAAGTGAAGTTGAGGGGATGGAAAAAGACATTGAAACGTAAAATTACTTAATAATAAATGTTTCCAATGTGTTACATGAGGGGGCTTTTGCCAGCTCTTGCCACTTTTGGAGACAGACATTCATAGTCAAAACTCAAACATAAAAAATGTAAAACGTATTATCTGAATTAACTGTAGTTTTTCACTTCTCAGCTTTTAGTTCCTCTGGTATTTGGTCATGGACTGCTACTGCCATTCCTTTTTTGATCATATGTCTTTTTTTTTGTATTTTCATTTTAGAGCCTATGAAATAGAAAAGAGATTAAGCACAGCAGATTTGTTCAGATTTCCCAACTTTGAGACTGTGTGCTGGTATGTGGGAAAGCATCTTCTTGATACCTTCAGAGGTTGGTGATTTCAAGGAATTTAACGATATTCATTTCATGACTTTATGTGAACAGTTTGGGTTGATTGTGCTTATAATCATTGTTATATTATAAATGTTTTGCTACTCTGTCTCATAGGTTTGAGAGAAAATCGTAGACACCCAGCCACATATCTGGTTCATGGAGCTAAGGCCCTGAACAATGCCTTCCGCGGCTGGACCCGAAAAGAGGTAAAATCTTATTTGATTACTTAATGTCATTCTTTCCTCTCTTTCCTCCTTGTTACATTACTTGGTTTATTAACTCCCATATCCACTGGTGACATTGTCGTACTGGAATTTGTTAGATTTTGCACCAGACAATTTTCAGACTCCAACAAAATGAGCAAGATGCAATAGGGAAATTATTCTAATTACATAAAATCACATTTGTGTCTAAATTATTAAAGTATTCGAATACATTCCAACCAGATGCATCTGGTCATATTCCTTCAAACTAAATTTTTGCTGTCATTGTGATAAGCTATAATTATGCAAGATATTTGATTTGAAAATGTTGCATGAAATGAATAAAAGTTATTGACGTACACCCAGGCTTTAGCAGATCATGACGTTGAGATTCCAGAAACAATCAACACTCAGACGCTAGTGAAGGACCTGGCCAAGGAGATTCGTCTGGTTGAGGTAAAAAGTAGTTTCATGGAAAGTTTAACTTTATTGTAACATTTGAAGTATTAGGAATAAATATTTTTATTCCCTTCCTCCTTCCTTTTTTTGCTGACTCATCAGTTTGGTCTCTTTTGACAGGATATCTTCCAGCAAAACATTGGTCGCACTGGACCTCAGTTTCCTGGTTCGCCACTCTCGAAAGCTCCCCTGACCACCTCTCAGAATTCAGGACGCCCCCCTGGAAAAAAGAAAGCACCCAAGCCTAAAGAAGTGATTGGGGGCATTGGACCCCCAGGAACCAAGAAGAAGAGTCAGAAGGGGCTGCTTAAGGCAGAAGCAGGAGAACTTGACCTCATTGAGATCCACACCAAACATACACTCAAGAAGTTTCACCCTGGCAAGTCCAAAAACAAGAACAAGGTATGGGGTTTGTGAACATTTACAGTTACATTGGGAATGTTTATCCACATTGTTTTTGTGTCTGAATGTTTTATCTTCATATTAGCAAAAAATTCTTGTGTGTCTTTCCAGCTGGATTTGCCATTAGAAGAACTTGAAGGGAAGCTAAACAAAAGCAAACTAAAACTTGTGCTGACCAATGGAAAAATCCAAGGGTAAGCTTTGAAGCTATATGTTCTTATTACCCTTTGAGATCTGATGGTCACAAACAAGGTTGGGGTTCATACTTGCCTTTTTTCTGGTTTTAGTAAGAAGGATGGCAGTAATGGTGCAGGAGGTGCTGGGAAGTTCAAACATCTTGCCATGGAGGGATCCAGTCTGTCTGACCTTGAGTCTGAGGATGAGCTGCAGATTGATGAGACTCCACCTCCACGTCGCAAACCTGCAGGACCCAGCAAGAAAAAGAAACTAAGCGGTTAGAATTTGACTTTAAGCAGTCGTATGAATGCTCAAATTAACTGAGTAGTCCTCATATGATGCTTGGACTACTGGTTGAATGTCGATCATAATATATTGTCAAAGCCCTTTGCTACTATAACTTGTGTTAAATTGTGCCTTCAGGTCTTCCTAGAAAGCTGCCCAGAGCCAAACCGTGCTCTGACCCCAATCGCATCAGAGAGCCTGGAGAAGTAGACTTTGACATTGAGGTGAGATCAATAATCATCAGTGAGAATTTTTGGAATTTTGAATGCCACCTTTACTCTGTAGTAGCCATTTTCAGTCAGTTAATCTTTATTTACTTAAAACACAGGATACAGATTACAGGATACAGCTGTATATATTTCATGATTCTAAATATACTATGTCTTTGTTATTATGCTTTCCATATCAAACATACCAAGTTTAATTTCTAGTTTTACGGTTCATAAATTATCACCAGTGGTGATAATAAAGTTGTAGTTGCTTTCTTTCCTCAGCCGAACCAGTTTACATTTGTTGCTTCATCAAACTGATTTTGCCAGTGATAAATACTTGTTTCAGTGTGATCACACTGGTTCAAAATATATCTCACAATCAGGGTGACCCCTAGACAAAAGGGTAGGGTGTACACCACATGGGCACACATGCCCTTAGCAGCAAGAACCTAATTTGACTCCCGACCAGCTGGATCATTTACTGTATGTCATATCCCTACTCCTACTCTCCCCACATTTGCTTCAACAGAAATCCCCCCCCCCCCCCACAACCCCTGGTTGGCATTCATTATTCCCCAGAATTGTATTGTTATCACACTAGTTGTACACTAGTAGTAACTATAGCATGTCTGTACATGTGTCTACAGGAGGATTACACCACAGATGAAGAGGCACTGGCTGCTCATGGAGTGAAGGGTGGCGCAGGGGGCATTCTGGACTTATTGAAGGCCAGCAAGCAAGTAGCAGGCTTGGACTCTGCAGCTCTTAGGTTCGATTTCCTTATTGACCAGTACTTCTTTTATATAATTTATTCAACACAACAATTCAGGAAGAGTTCTGTGATGGTATTTTGAATATATATTTATGAAGAAGGTTACATTTAATTTGATTTTCATGATGTTTGATTAAACAATTTCTGAATAGTGACTAGAGTCTTTAAAGATTATCAGTCATCGAGGTCATGGTATATTTTAGCACTTGGATGAACTAGTGACTAGAGCAATCGTTTCCCTATATTAGATAAGATTTTAAGACCTTGACCTTCTATGTAAAGTGCCTTGAGATAATGCATATTATGATTTGGCGCTATACAAGTATGTGTAGGAATAAATGTCCCACTTTGTTGCTGCAAGGATCCAATAATCTCTGAAACTTGAATAGTTCACATGTTTGCTCTTGCTCTGTGCTGTCTCCATGAAGTTATTTTTGAGATATTACGTGATGGCTTGACTGTCCTTTTCTCAGTGAGGAAGCCCCAGCCTCTCCAAGTACGCGTGATGCCATTCAGGGTATGCTCTCCATGGCCAATCCTCCATCCTCGTCTTCATCTTCCTCCTCTTCATCTCCCTTATCTATCTCTGGAGGCCTGACAGAGGGATTGGGGGTGGTCAAGGAAAAGGGCGGCAGGGCTGTGTGGGTGACCGGAGGGGTCAAAAAGACAGGAATTCCTGAGAAGAAACCTGTCATCCAGCGGCCTGGAAAACGGCCAATTAAACGTCCAGCCCGTCACTTTAGTGATGAGGAGAGTCCAGATGAGCAAGAAACTCTGGGAACGTGTTTTAAAGATTCAGACTATGGTGAGAAATACACTCAGTGTCTTACATTTCAATTTTACAACTTTCACTGATCAAGATTAATTGACAAGATACATTTTTAATCAAATTTTTAAGTTTACCCATCCTTGGAGTCTGATGAGGAGGACCATGCCAACAAGGCTAAGACAAAGCGCAAGAAAAACTGGGATGATACACCTTGGAGCCCTAAAGGTACCTGGCTTAAATATATAGGGAAGACTGATTTGCCTTTTAGCTTTCCAAAGGTTGATCTTTTCATTTCTTCTCATTTATAGCCAGAGTGATGCCCACCCTTCCCAAGCAGGAACGGCCAGCCAGGGAAGGGGCTAGAGTTGCATCTGTAGAAACTGGTCTTGCCGCTGCTGCTGCCAAGCTGGCACAACAAGTAAGTTGAGGAAAAAGCGTATTGGTCTTAGTAGGATAACAATTAGTCAAAAAGGGTAAAAGGGAGGTCTAACATAATATGTCCAAACAAGAGCACGGCTCCTTACCTTTGCTTTGATTGTTTATTGTCAAGACAAAAATATATACAGTAGCGAAGCAAATTGGACCAAAATATATTGGTCGACAAATAACAATTTAGAGCTCATCCTCTCTCCTAGACAACAAACAATAAGTAAGCAGATGAGTAGGTGATATTAATTATGCACGTTCGGTATGTCCTGGTAAAAACAAAGACCTCCACATCTTCCATCAGTTACTGAGTAACAGGTATTCAGCTCAGGTGTGTACCCTGCTGCTACAGTCGGCCTAATAAATGATGTGTAAAGTTGTAAAGTTATTTTTCAATGATATATAATAACTCTTGTTTCTCTTCGTTAAATTATTATTCAGGAACAGCAAAAGCCTGCTAAAAGGAAGTACAGCAAAAAACAGCGTCCTCCTGCTCCAGTAGTTGCTCCTCTCCCTGTTCAGACTGAGCCAGCCCCACCCTCCCCATCACCTGCTCCAGAGTCTGGAGGAGACTTCAGCCCAGAAAGGAGAATGGATTACTACTCTGCTAGTCTGATGGACCATGAATACACAGCAGGACCAGGACCTTATGGCCCTGGAGGCCCTAGAGGAAGCGGAGCCATGGCTCCTGGTGTGTTCCTCACATCTCGACGCCCTTCCCTATCTCCGCAGAACAGCAGCTCTCACTCTGGTGCGTCCCCTGCAGGTTTGGCCAGCCAAGGCACGACAGGAGTTGGTCAAGGTAAGCATTAAGTTAAAACATAATCAGCATAATTGCAGATATCTGGTATAGAATGTTTTCTAATATATGTCTCCTTTCCACTTCAATTCAGGGAAACGCCCAAAGAAAGGACTTGCTACTGCAAAACAGAGACTTGGAAAGATTTTGAAAATTCATCGCAACGGCAAACTTCTCTTGTGAGAGATTGTGGAAATGAGGGCATCAAGAGAAGTGTTTTTGTGGAAGTAGGTCTGAAGGAAATAGAAATAGTAATCTATATTTTCTACTCTAGATAAATTTGTTTACTGGTTTCACCTGTTAATTGAACCCCACTATATCATGTCCTACACCAAGTATACAGCCCAATTAGCAGTAGTCTGTTTTGGCACATCACCTACCAATATCTTCACAAATATATTTTCAGAGGCACATCTGTTACTTAAAACAGATCAATGTAATGCCCTAGATATACATTCACTCTGGTAAATAACTTTTAATGGTTGTATATTGGACAACAGGAAATTGTGGAAAGTGTTTCAAAATGACAGGTGGACAGTGATTTAACTAGCTAGATTAACTAGCATAATAAATCAAGGTTTCTTTTGCTTATATCTTTTGCCATTTGTAGAGGCTGTATTTATGCAAATACATTCTACTGTCCATCTTAATTTTTTTTAAAGGGAAAGAAAAACAACACATTGTCTAGTCAGGTAAAAATGACCCCGATCCCACAAAAACAATGACAGTCATGCAGTTGTAATATTATATTTACTTAATTTTACCTCATAAACCCAACGCATGGTAAGCCAACCACAGCATGCTAACCTTTACAAACAATAAACAAACCTAATATGCACTTGGTCAGCACTCAATATGGAACATGAATTAATTTTACAAATTTCTCACTGGCCCTGCTCAGACCCGGTATTAACATTGATCCTGAGAGATCCAATCAAAAGAGTGTATGTGTCCTAATTTTTTTTCCTTTTACCACCTGTGATCAGATCTCACTTCCATGCTCTGTATGCAAATACAAATGTACGTCATTTAAGCTCACTAACACCAAACCATGCTGCTTCTAGCCAGTCTGGGTGGCCCAGGACACATTTGTGTTCCCACAGCTAACAGAATGTGGCCACATTGTCCCAGACCACTTCCAAATGTGGTCTGAATGACAGGGTCTCAAATGTGTTCTTTCACACCTGTACTAAAAGCTGTCCACTTGTAATCGTATCACTCAGGACAAACATTAATACCCGGTCTGAATGGGGTCACTGTTGTTTGTATACTAACAAATTATCCTCCACTGTTTTACACTTAAAATATTCAGTTGTCAATGTGATGCCAAGAGTAACATACAGTTCTATTTATTCTGATCATATTTATAAAGACAATGCTATACCACCTACTAGCCTGTTTTAATGTCAAATGTTTTTACCACCTCATCTTTTTGTTCCCCACTTTGGTTAATTTCGACCACTTAATACCTGTACAAATGCAATCCCTGACTTTGTTACAATTTTTTACAGTTTAAGTTGTCATTGTAAATACTTGTAATATTTGTAATTTATATAGCGACATTGGAAAAGCTGAAGAGACTAGTCTGCTGCAGGTTGCCATAATCCGTGCCCCCAGTGTTGGCAGTACTCTTGGACCAGACATAGACATGTGCTTTCTTTCCACAGAATGTACTAGTGATAACATGTTGGCAGAAATATAGATTTAACTGTGTGAAAACATTGTGAAGGTGCAAAATATAAATTCACATGTAAATATATGTTGTAATTTAAGTTCTTTTATAGCTCAAACAGTTTGAAATCTTTCTTAACATAACTTGTACATGATACATTGCTGTATTTGGAAAATATCTGAAATAGTTCATTTTTTATATTTGTATGCAGTAATTGTAATGCTTAGTTTGTTATGTCTTGTTAGTATAATATTGGAAGTGTCCTGGAAAAAAATGCCCTTGTTAAATTTCATCAATTTAGTTTTATATTAATTGTCAATGTTCACTCTTGTGTTGGTGTGTACTTTGTGTTTTACACGTGTTTAAATACGACATGGAAAAGATAAAATACACGATGGGCAAAATTTTCTTTTTTCATTCATTTTATTCGAGGAACACCAAGTCACAAGAAGTGTGATTTGTGGGCCAAATGAATATTACACATCACTCTACTAGAGAACCCAGTTTTTACCTTTCCTGCAAATGTGATGACTGGGGACGTCAAACAGATACAACAAATATTATTGTGTTGTATTTAACAGATACAGTTAATTCCATCCACTGAAAGTATGATAGCTGTTGACTACAGTTTTTCTCAGGGTTTTTTGTATGAATTACTGTGCTATTATTTTCACATAAACCATCTAAACATTGCTCTTCTAAATACATCTAAATAAGCATTTGTTATTAAAATGTCCAATATTAATCCCCTAATTGTCAGTGAGTTTGGATACACTTTCTTATCAAAGTGAATTAAACTATTTTTCCCAAAAGAATGTTGCTGTGTGCTTTCGTGTGCACATCTGATCACAGGGTCGAGGCTGGACCATAGGGCTGGACTCGGTTCGCTGTGTCCCGCTTCCAGACGGAAAACGCTCTCGTATTGTTTTTCTACAACAATTACAAGGGAGTGTCCTGAGTACACACAGCAACAGCAGCAGCAGCAGCAGCAGGTAATCTCGCGAGATCTGAACTGTCCTACCAGTCGCCAGTGCAAGATGGAGAAGCAAATGTAGCACGCATTCGAGGTAAGCCGAAATACTTCTTCCAGAGTACTGACATGGGTTTCAACTGGCTGGCGGCACACATCGATCGTCCTTGAAGACTCCCACTGACTATTCGTGGCCGTCACTGGGATGCGAGACCGCGAGCTTGTGTCATTTTAAGGGTAAAGTGCGGATCTGCTGCTGTGTAAACCGCCATTTTTAATTTAGCCATGATCCCGCTGATAGAGCATTGTGCGGAGCTCCGCTGCTAGCTAGCTAGCTACTAACTAGCTAGCTAGCTAGGCTCGCGCGAAACCCCCCAAACACACACACTCATGTTCACTGTGTGTGGGTATGTGCGCCACTGTTCGACTACAAGTCAACGCGGTATCGTCGTTCAATAGCCACCCGCGCTTCTCGAGAATAACCGGTGAGAGCTGAAATGTGTGTCGGGCTGCAGATGTGACTTTTCCTAATCTGCTAACGTTAGCCACCTGAGCCGAATTTAGGACAAGAAGTAACAGACGTTAGCCTCAACTGCTAGTGAACCTAGCTAACGTCACCCAACTAGCATTTAACTTCGCTAACGGTAGCGCAGCCGGTGACTTTGTCTTTACTGTGTAAGCAGCCGTCTCAATTGTCCCGATAAACGCTGTGAGGTGATTTAACATCAGCTAATCAAACAAACAATTTGGGGAGTGTGGTAATGTTACTTAAACTACCGTCATTTTGGATGCGGATGATTGCTAATATTGTCGGTAATGCTGCGTTGGTGTTTAGGGGTCGATATATCCAGAGAGGTGTAGTAGATTGAATGCATTAATATGAGGCTTGAGACTGTCTGATAGGCTGTGGATATTTGATCACAAGCTGTGATGCTTGTCAATACAACCAGCCAGAAATGTTGCAATGAAAACGAATCAAGTGAATCCATGGTACCTGTCAGTGGTCCTTGTCAGTCTGTCAGTCACTATTGTAATGACATGAGATGGCCTGAAGTTCAGTTGTGTCAAACAAAGACCTGCTGACATTTGTTGGTTGTTCATAACGAGGCCCTTCCTGTTGATCTGATGATTGAGGCATGTACCTGCATAGTAAAAGCTGGTCTGACCAGAGCAGACTTATTGGATGAACTTGGTTGGGAGTGATGGGTTTTTAGACCAATAAGATTTGATAACCTGCACATTGATGATGCAAATTGATTACAAACAAGGTATCAAAGAAGTCCGTTTATTTTAATACATTTGAAGACTCTAAAATTTAAAAATAAATCAGACATTTATGCACAACCACGCTAGCACGTACAAAGAGACAATGCTTACCCCGAAGCTAGAAAGATGGAGGGTTTCAGGTGGAAATGCTGACTGTCAGTGGTAGAGAAAGCTGAACAGTTGCAGTAGTGTTTTAAGGTGTAACTTTAACACCAGCAAAATGTGTGATTTTCTCCAATAACACAACGATCAGCTTTATCACAGTATTTCTTTATAAACATGTGTTTGCACATTTGATATAAATACTAACACATTTCACCAGAGATGACTGATATGCAAAAAAGGATGTATAACAATTATTTTGAAATATATTTCTATTGTGATTTGAGTCAAGATTTTAGTGGGAAAGGCAATTTTTGCATTTTATTCTCACTGAAATAAATATAACATATTATGATGATGTGATTATTGTTGGGGTCTGTAACCAAACAAATATAATTTTATTTAGTTGTGTTTAAAGTTTTATGTGTAGGGCAGCATCTCTGTAGCACTACAAAGCTTCATTTATAATAGCAGAATGCAACACATTTGACCTTAATCAGAATTTGCAGCTTCTGCAATTTGGATATTGCACTTGGCCATATTGTGATTTTTAATAATATTTCAATTACTTGTTCAGCTGTTCTGAAGTGTAGGTGTAAATCTGGCAGATTGTTTTACCAATTATGTTGTCTGAATTGTCATTTGTTGTCATATCTGATTGGATGGTTGTCTACTTGTTTTCAGATTGTTAAAAGAAACTGATAAAGCCAAGGATGACAGTGGCGGAGTTATTGAACCAAAACAGTTTCTGGTATGTACTGCCAACCTTTTTGCTACATTGACTGAAGCTGTTATGATGGAACACATCAATATATAAAGGACACAACAATTTTCCATGAACACATGCTTCTAAGGCTAAACCTTATGAAATATGTTATTCACTGCTTTGGGTCTACTTCATGAACCACAAATAATAAACAAGAACTAGTGGAAGTAATCTTCTGCCCTTCTCTGTACAGCAGATGTTGGATATCTCTGGCAGTGAAATTAAGTGTAGCTGAAATAATTTGCCCAGCAACGCAAACTAGCATAAGTTCTTAACATTCATCAATGATAAACACAGAATTTCTTCCCATATTATCATCCCTGTCATCCTCTCTATACATCCATATGGTTTTGGTGAGATTAACTGTGATTTAACAGTTGTATGTATTCACTGTAAAATGGAGGTCACTGACATTGCTGCTCAAAGCACCAGAAAAGTATTATAGAAAAATTAACCAATTTGTGAAGAGATTTAACTCCATAGAATTTGTACTAGAGGAAACATGATCTAAATACATAACATTGTTATTTTACAGTTGCTAGGTTTAATTGAACTAAATTTCAAAACTCCAAAACTAAACCTCAGTAACTCACACCAAACGAACATATCCTGTAGCATTGGCTAAAAAAGCAAGTGCCATATGTTGCGTTTCTGGGTATGTTAATTTCCTATGGTTGCCCATCAACGGGCAAAGGTGGCATGTGTTACATGTCTACCACATCACTTCAGATGTTATAGTTTCGAAAACAGGGTGCCTGACTTCCCTGAAATGTCAAGACCCCTAAGTATTGTCATAGATTTTCAGAGGCTTCATAGGAGATACTGCAAGACACTGTTCTGGTAATTGTGTCTGAAGTCTTTTTGAATTGAACAATAGTAATCATCATTCTAGCACACAGAAATCACTCATCCCTGTACATATATTTTTCCTATTTCAATTTTACAGACAATTTCAGTTTATAGTCTACCAAATATAACTGCGCTCATATAAATATCAACGGACATGTCCAATATAGAAAATATTGTCAAATTCCTTGAAGCACTTTTGGTTCTTTGTTACAATCACTTATCACTTCCGTATGATTGCTTTTGCATCAATGTGCTCCACTGGGATGCACACAACATGCATCCCCCCCTGGTGAGTTTCACAGACGTGAGCTTGATGGATTTTAATGTCATATTTATGTCATATTTATTGTTGTGTGGTCTTTTACTGTGGGTGTTAGCTGAGAGACCTGTTGGCCCTTAAATGACATTATCACTGTAATCGTTTCCCCACAGAAGGCCAGTTGCCCTTTATTAATACAGACTGCTTTGGTGAACAGAGGCTCGGTCGTTTCACTATTCACTTTTTTGCACACTACCCGGAGTCATGGTGACTCTATCGGCAAGTGTCTGTGTGCTACGAAAACAAGCGCGGATACTGAGAATTAATACAACGACCGGATGAACAACTTCTTCGCCGAGGCGGTGGCCGGTTGATTATTTGCACGAACGAAAACTGAAAGAGCCCTCGCAGTGTCACGTTAGACTCGTCCGACAATGATTCAGCGACTTATTATGCGTTTCTGCCTGCTGCTCAACTAACGGTAGCTAGCTTGCTAGCTAGCGCGTGCTACGGCTGTGTGTCAGAGGAACCGGGTCGGGACTCCGGAACTCAGTAAAGTACCGCTCACTGGCTCCAGGTATTTAACACACACCGATGTGACTGTCGCTGGTCATCGAGTGGTGTTTACGGCTTCCTTTTACTCGAATCGGGGATGGTGCAGGAGTGGGGAGTGCGGGCTTCTTTTGCGGCCTGCGCAACCCCGACCTAAATTAGTCAAGAGTCAGGTCAGGACAGCATGGTGAATCTGTGAGATTTGGGATGACAGCTATGGCACAGGGGCTTGGAGCACTGGATTTGCGGTTAGCTGCATTTTAAATGTTTGTCGTTCGTGACACACGTGGCTTGTTTGTGCTGACGTCTAAAGATCTAGTGGTAATCAAATGCTTTGAAGTATGTCAGGGGAAGATCGCAAACGTTACCGGTAGCTCAGTGCTAGCTGGTCATGGGCTAACATCAACTCCGCAGCAAACATTGCCGATCTATCATTTCTGTCTGTCAGGGTTCCAGTGTATTTTGTTTAGTCATTCGTGTTGCTGGCTTTTCACCGAGTAAACCAGTCTCGTTTGTGACCAGTAACATCAGTGCTACATGTGTATTGTGACTTGTTAACGTTGGGTAAATAGCGTTATGCTGTTAGCAGGGGTGACGTTAGCAGCTAGGTAGCTTTAACTTTAACCTGTTAGCGTCAACCCACTTTAGTTGACAAAGGGCAGGCAGCGAGGAAGCGATTTTTTACATTCAGATATCGTGTGAATCTCAAGCACACAAAACGTAAGAGCAATGCTGTTGGTCATTAAATGTGGTACGAGCCATTTTAATTAACTTTGGGTCTTATGTTGCTAGCCCGACACTAGCCAATGCTCTGCCTGGGTCTGCTTTGTGATTATCAGACCTGGCTGGATAACTGGTACATTTGGTTACTATCACCTTTTGACTAATGATTCGGATCAGTCGTTTGGTATCTTCCATGAAATCGCTCATGTACACTTCCCTCGTTCATTAGAAGAGCACTGTGT